TAACGACCACCGGAGTGAGTACTCCTAGAAGGCTTTAGGATTAGAACTTAAGTTAAATTATTATGACGATATTACGATTATATATATCCATTGCTTGGTATAATTACCTTGATGTCAGAAGCTATATTCTGGCCCCCTAAATAGGCGTACCTTACTGGTGTTATTATATAAATCAGTGACAACAAGGGTCACCAGCCAGGAGCAATCCTGTGCTGCAAATTGTCATTGAAATTACGTTAAAATAACAACACTACTAATACGGAATGATGCCGTGTCTCTCGGAGGCTTTCGAGTGCCACTAAATTAGTGGAACGTTACGAACCCGAGACCCTGGTGGAACCTGAAGGAGGACATGATGCAGGTAAGTATTGACCCGCTTGCCCGGGCTATCCAGGTTTGATCATGTTTGGGAGCTATAGGAAAGCTTCTATGGAGCCTTAAATAAACTCTCCGCCCTAGGTTGTTTGACGTATTATTCCAGGCCACCTTTTGTAGTTCACAGCCAGTTTAACGACGGCTGGGCTCTTACAATATATGCTGAGAGCTCGCATTATTTCTTACTATCTAGTACCTGATTATATATTGATATTTACCTGGGATAGGACAGGCGTTTGTGATCACTGACACAATTTATATCGTGTAATATCATAACTTTAGAAATCCTTGTATATCCCCTTGCCTGTTCTTTGTCACAAATTTTAGGCAAACAACTGTTTAATCCAAATTTATTGTTACGAATTCGAATTTGCCACTCTTGCAACTCCTGTAACTCATAAATTTAATGAGGGACACCTGCCAATTTATCAATATCGATAAAAAATATAACATTTGTTTGCTCGCATTATTTCTTAAGTTCTTTATCTTACTATCTCATGCCTGATTATAGACTTTGCCACCTAATAGTCCTGTTTTTTACACCTGTTGTTTTTGTACGGCACCACCGTAAAGTTTTCCACCGTAGAGTCTTACGCCATAGATTCCCAGACCCACTTACATTCACCGTGTAGATCTCCTGTAAGACTAAGACTAAGAGTAAGAACATTTTAAACTCTGTTACCATTGAGACAGTTTCAAGTAGAACGAGTCACCGTGTAAAATAAACCGTACTATTATAGCTGATCATTGGCTGTTTATGACATAGAATACTATTCACCGACGTTTTTAGCAAACTTCGGTAAAATCATTAACCATTGCAAAACCCACCCTAACCGCTGCCGCTCTTCTTCCCTCGTTGCTATGGCAACAGACCCCTGACCCAGGAAGAAGGTGAGGGATATCGTTTACTGGCGTGCACATTACTTCAGTTATTTAGTGGTCCTTCGTTGTTCTTTGTTGTAGCGCAGCCCTGGCTGCTTGGCTGATCGTCTAGGGGTCTAGGTGTTTGCTAATTTATTTAATTCCATTATTAGCTAATGTTTCGTCATGAGTTTGTTATTACGAGCTGGACGGCTACATTAGAGTGGGAGGGAAATCCCCTCGAATTAAAGGTCTCGAGAGTATTATGGAAATACGTGCACTCAGATTCATAGATTTGACCAAAACACAAGCTGGTCTATAAATTGATTCTACATGAACGACACTCAAGAGTGAGCCGATGAACCTCTAAAATATCTCTGTTGTGACCTGAGTACAAAGTAAATGGCCCTGTCCAAATGCTCCACTACACGGATATTTCACGAGTATTTGACGATTCATAACTATGAACCAATTAACTCACTAGTTCATGTGGAGAATTAAACGGGAGTAAACTTGGAATCATTAGATCTACAGAACAACTAATAGGCTTTTAATTTCGAGGTTTGCAAAAAATCAATAGTGAAAGTAGTCATGTACAGAAATCCAAAGATATCTTTTCTAATCTTCTATTTCGACAAATAACTAGAAAATTCCTAAACCCTAAATCACTAAGGAAACCAAACCGGTCCATACCGGGATAATCTCATAATCTGTCCCGACCACGTTCAAAATCCAATTCCCAGGATGCAACTTTCACGTGATACAAAAAATAGCTGAGACTGTCAACGAGCTTATAGACGGCTGGGTCGAAACAGAAAACAAAAACCTTAGTTTTTGTACCATTTCACGGCATGTTTTAGTATTTTCACTCCACGAAAACGGCCGTTTCGCCCGCAGTTCGATGACAGTCCCTGCCTGTTTCCCAGGCAAACTAGTAGGCGAGGACATTTTAATCAATTTACAGTAATACTAAGGTATCTTTAAAATATTTTAGTGTACGAAAATGTTATGTAATCTAAGATAAATATTTAATTTCCCGATCAATTTTTAAGAATTTAAGACTTATTATTCACTGACCCTACATTGTTAACAGTAACTATTAGTCGAAAACCGCTATAGTGAATCAAGAGACGCCAGATCTCATTGCCCTCTGGTTTATAAGAATACCTGATACAGATAATAATAATATATTTTCCAAATATCTGCACAGTGTTTGGTGATCAAACACCTCTTTCGAGGATTTGCCATCACTTTTAGTTTTCGACTTATGGTACGGTAACTTTGTTCAAATCACTCACTTCCCCGCCTGTTTACGAAGGGCCGTTTTTTTGCTTTGTTTAATCAAAAAATGGTTTAATTTGTATCATTATGATCTCTAACACCCTATAACTACTGATGAATGTTTATTATTATTGACAATATATGTAGGGTGAATGGTTGCCGAGCGTGCTAAATCACTCTACAGTCGACCTTCAAGATTTTTCTAAAAAGCCCCCCGACAGTTGGAACGCTGATTCCGAATCACCCCTCATGACATTAAAATGCTCCCCTGGCGAGATTCTGGCGAATAGCTGTCTTGATCACGTGATATGTCCATTATATAATGAAATTGTTCAAATATCTCGTTCTAAAGGGTTAGGGTTTTGGCATATGCTTTTGTTAGAGATTGGGTTGGATTAGGGTTGGAATCAGATTATAGGGTTATTCATGGCCACCTAGAGAACAGGTTTCAAAAGTCACGTGACAGTCGAGTGTAGACTGTAGAGTGATTAATCATCATCCAATGATTTCAGCCATCTACATATTATTTGGAGATCCCCAGGGTGCCTGTATCCATCTAAACGATGGTACCGGTTACCGGTACTCTTATAGGGTGTGAGACTCAACGACGTAAGACTCTACGGCGGCGCAGTAGAGACTAGGACTCTACGGCGGGAAATATTTGTTTCATATTTTCGATCAAAATAGATAGAATTCCATATCAAATTAGGGTGCCCATGGTTACAGGAAATGTTCTTCGAAAGTAAGCTTTTACCACATCAAGAAATATTTATCTTGACCTATGATACAGCCGATGAAATGAAACACTGATTTGAACACATATAAGCGGGTTGAACTTATCTGAAAACGATAGTTATACTGTACTATACATTATAGATATTCCCGGGTCGTTAATATCCTATGTTAAGATCCCATAACACTGCACTAAGTCACTGGCAAGTAGCTCAGGATGTTTAATGCAGTGTCCCGCCATTTCTAATCTCCTGCTTCGTTGCTTGTTTGACAGGCTTGGTAGGCTACCATACAAAGTTATATAGCTGACCTTGTATTGCCCTTCCAAAAGATACACAGCACCATCGGCCAGCCAGTCGCCAAATACTGTAATATTAATAAAACGGAATAATGGCATATTATCTTCTTAGATGACACTTAATACAGCTCATCCGTACACACGGCTACACTCAGCTCTGTACAACTACACACCGCTCCCATTCGACATTACACATTCCACTGTAATTAGCGTTACTGTAAGAATAAGTTTCAAATGTGTGGTAGCTGGCACGTGCGCGCGGCTCATCATTAGCCATTGCAAAACCCACCCTAACCGCTGCCGCTCTTCTTCCCTCGTTGCTATGGCAACAGACCCCTGACCCAGGAAGAAGGTGAGGGATATCGTTTACTGGCGTGCACATTACTTCATTTATTTAGTGGTCCTTCGTTGTTCTTTTTTAACAGTAACTATTAGTCGAAAACCGCTATAGAGAATCAAGAGACGCCAGATCTCATTGCCCTCTGGTTTATAAGAATACCTGATACAGATAATAATAATATATTTTCCTAATATCTGCACAGTGTTTGGTGATCAAACACCTCTTTCGAGGATTTGCCATCACTTTTAGTTTTCGACTTATGGTACGGTAACTTTGTTCAAATCACTCACTTCCCCGCCTGTTTACGAAGGGCCGTTTTTTTGCTTTGTTTAATCAAAAAATGGTTTAATTTGTATCATTATGATCTCTAACACCCTATAACTACTGATGAATGTTTATTATTATTGACAATATATGTAGGGTGAATGGTTGCCGAGCGTGCTAAATCACTCTACAGTCGACCTTCAAGATTTTTCTAAAAAGCCCCCCGACAGTTGGAACGCTGATTCCGAATCACCCCTCATGACATTAAAATGCTCCCCTGGCGAGATATTGGCGAATAGCTGTCTTGATCACGTGATATGTCCATTATATAAGGAAATTGGTCAAATATCTCGTTCTAAAGGGTTAGGGTTTTGGCATATGCTTTTGTTAGAGATTGGGTTGGATTAGGGTTGGAATCAGATTATAGGGTTATTCATGGCCACCTAGAGAACAGGTTTCAAAAGTCACGTGACAGTCGAGTGTAGAGTGATTAATCATCATCCAATGATTTCAGCCATCTACATATTATTTGGAGATCCCCAGGGTGCCTGTATCCATCTAAACGATGGTACCGGTTACCGGTACTCTTATAGGGTGTGAGACTCAACGACGTAAGACTCTACGGCGGCGCAGTAGAGACTAGGACTCTACGGCGGGAAATATTTGTTTCATATTTTCGATCAAAATAGATAGAATTCCATATCAAATTAGGGTGCCCATGGTTACAGGAAATGTTCTTCGAAAGTAAGCTTTTATCTCATCAAGAAATATTTATCTTGACCTATGATACAGCCGATGAAATGTAACACTGATTTGAACACATAGCGGGTTGAACTTATCTGAAAACGATAGTCATACTGTACTATACATTATAGATATTCCTGGGTCGTTAATATCATGCAAACTTTCAAATGTAAACAGCGAGTGCATTTAAGAGAGTCTCAAGCCGTAGAGTCCGGACGCCGAAATGAATTGTTTTGAATAAGTTCAAGCAAATTCAGCCAAAATCTGTGTTGTTATTTCTTTGACTCCAGAAACTTCCTAAAAGTAAACCCATGAGTATATTTATTTGACCTTTTAAAAGCAACTTATGGTCTGAACAGAGCTGAAGGGTACCTTAGCAACGCCACAGCAACACCATTGTAACGCCATAGTGGTCCCCTAGCAACATCGTAGCAATTCTTAGAAAATAAAGCTAAAAGACAGGAAGCTGCTGTAATATACCTGACAATGATAATTTCTATTTGTAGCACACCTTGACACACGTTGCTGCACTTCTAAAAATTGTCTGCATGAGTTCTTAATAATTCTTATTAGTTCTTCCTAATGAGACAGACTTCCTATCGTATCTATACAAAGCCGTGTTTAGCCGGACAAGTATAAACGTCATAATATGCTAAAGTAAATCAATGCTGACAGATCCAGACGCGATGATACATACAAAACTACTTAGAATTGCTTAAAGATGACTCGTTTCCATGCATACGGGCAATGTAATTTGAGGTCTGTGGCTGAACCCATTCACTCTACCTATATTTTCAATAGTAATCTATGTTACTAGTAACAATAGGGTGGATGGGATTAAAATCATGCAAATTAAGCCATTTTTTAGTAAAAAGCAGTGAAAGTGAAATATCATGACAGTTTTCAGTAATTGTTCCTCACCGGCAAGTGTGGATCCGACCAGCTCCTTGACAGAGGTCCGGATTTACGTACAACCAACGAAAGGTTGTTTTTAAAACTTTGTTTTGATTCGTCGCATCATCCCATGGAAGCAATTGATCTAGATTGGGCGGAACTGTCGGGCAGAACTGTCAGTAGTTACATATAATGAGATTTTAGTGACGATGTTGTTTATTATACGATCGTCACTAAAATCTATCTTTGGATTGACCGCTGATTTTGGCAGCCAGCTGAATTGCAAAACCTTTTACTCTTTAACATATCATAACCTCAACTAAAATACTTACTTGTCTGTCTTTTCGGCTATATTTATGAAATTATATCAATATCTATCGTAACTGTGTTACTTCAACTTGCGCGTAACCATGGCAATTGGTTACGTGGTGTGTTACTCTGATTATGGCTCATCATGTTTGTTATTAATGCTGCTTGTTTCGTTTTTAATGTTTTCAAAACTTTGTTTAACCCTTTCCCTATCATTTTAGCTAAGTTCTATCTCTCCCAGCTCCCTCGTCGAGATACTTCTTTTTGTCAACTGTGACGGGCCCGCTCAAGGTAAAATATTCACTATCACAATATTAAGTTTGCTATAAAATTTGCAGATCAGCTTGCGAGAGCCACAAACAGTGTTTTTAATGAAATATGTCTATAACTTGGGAGTAAAAGGCCACTGAAATTTCGTATCGTCTAACCTGAACAAGCGATCAGTTTGGAAAGAAAAACCGTTTGATTCATTCTGTCTTCTGATTGGCTGAAAACTGTATACTACATTTTTTATCTTTTTACAACCCCCCATTTACAGATGGCCGCGGAGAGAGCAGTAAAGACAGAAGCTGAAGAGGACGATATAGAAGCAGGAGGGTCATTACGTATGGAATAAGTGAATCTGACGATGAGAAAAAAAGCTGCTGAAGTTTTTGGTGAGATAAACGAGAAACCTGTCGTACGTGCGATTACTCGATAGTCGATAAGTTACCAAACTTTTCTAGCTTGATTAGACGATATTTTCTGACAATCTTGGATATTATTACAGCCTAGCTGTTATACTTTTAGTTTAATACCATCCTCTAACCCCTCCGGCCTCCATACTCGATATTATGTTATTATTTGTAAAATTAGTGATATCCCAGGTTTAAAGCTAATGGTACTGGTAGTTTTGCTTTTGGTATTTGAGACGGACTTTGGGAACTAAAACGTTCTTTGAAAACCCCTCTAAACAGGTAAAACTGCATAGTTAGTGTGTCACTCAAATACTGGGGGGGGGGGGGGGGGGGGGGGGGGGGCAACCATATCAAAGTATATTAAAATGTAGGATTTTTTCCGATGTTGACCCATATCTCCTTAGAGGCCTACATCAACAATTTTTGCCGGCACAATAAGCTTGAAATGCAATTCTTAATCGATTCCAAAAAGTTCTTGCAAAAATATTGAAAACTGATAGAGTTATTTCAATTTTAATAAAGTCATAATTTTGGCTAGTATTCCAAACCGAGATATTATGTGCAATTTTCCCAATTTTTTTCATAGAGGTCTTTTTACTTAGTATTCACTATATTCAACAAACACTGAGGTATATCTTTCACATAGAGTTAGTCTCATTAAAAAATATTGAAGTTTGATCGAATTTAGGCAAAAGCAAATTTGGGCAAAATCGTATGCCCAAATGTGGGCATATTTTTTAAAGCTCATAACTCAGCCAATTTTTGACCAATTTGGATGTAAATCCATGTACTAGTCCTAAAACAGGCTTATCTTGCGAATCTAAGCGAAAAATATAGTTCATCATGTAAATCTTAGCGAAGAATATAAATATTCTAATTGTAGGTATATTAAAGTATATTAAAATATAGGATTTTTTCTGATTTTGACCCGGGGATATACTTTATATTGCTGACCTTGTATTGTCCTTCCAAAAGATACACAACACCATCGGCCAGCCAGTCGCCTAATACTGTAATATTAATAAAACGGAATAATGGCATATTATCTTCTTAGATGACACTTACAACTCCTCCGTACACACGGCTACACTCACCTCTGTACACACCGCTCCCATTTGACATTATACATTCCACTGTAATTAGTGTTATTGTAAGAATAAGTTTCAAATGTGTGGTAGCTGGCACGTGCGCGCGGCTCTAGTCATGCCATAATTTTATAGTCACGCACAAATTCGTTCATAAAATGTATCCGAAAGTTTTATATAAACCACACTCACTTCAGCATATATTTCTATATTTTACCGCGCTCTCGGGCGTGCCGATCAGCCGATGGGGCAGGGCGGGGGTTTCAAATCATCAAATGATTTAGATTACGCTAGTGTTATTATGACACATAACAATAGCTATACTATCTGTAAAATTGATAACGTAGTGGGGGTGGGGAGGTGTAAGAATTGGCCAATAGTGATAACCTAATTACGTAATATGTGAACTGTCCCTAAATCATTCGACACAATACCGTGTCAATAACTATTATTTAAGTACGTTACGTGAATTGTCGCGTACAGACGGTAAAGTGATCGACCCTTTAGACTTAGTTACGCTACCACCTCTATCACCCCTTCAATCGCTCACCCCTACTAAGAGAAAGAAAACTTCGCCGGTTGAAGACGGTAGTTGATATTTGGGTTACAATGTTTTATTTTTTCTTCACTTACTGGTAATTTCCGTCAAAAATTTAAAAAGAATGTTCACTGTTAAGGACACAGTTTATTTTACATCCCAAACGTGTTGGGAATTTTCAAGATACCACATTCCATATGACACGTAACATGGATCATTCAACGTCAATTAATACAGCCACGCACTTATCCCATGAATTTGTGTTTATGTTTGTTTGTATATTACATAACCACTTTATATTACGTAATCAATCACTTTTCCGACAATTTGTACCCATGCAACTCATCCCACGTAACTGGAATATTATAAGACTTAGCTTATAAATTCTAAATAGATTTCTAAACGCACACCTATTTTTCAGGAGGTGATCTACAATAATGAAAGATGATCTATTTCTGGCCAGAAATTTGCGGAGTTCAATCGTCTTGATATCAGTCTTGGCTGCAGTTGTATCTCTAAAAATCAGGTATACATTATTTTAAAATAAAACTATCCTTCCTGGCTTAAACCCTGGTTGTTAAAACTAAAAGCCGCCTTGCATATTCATCTTTGATTAAAAATGAATCAGATTTGTTAATTTGGTAATTTCATGATAGAAGTTGAACATTTTCCCCTCATTTTCACACGTAGTAGCTTATTTTCTTTCCCTCAGTGACGGTTTGAGGAGACACTGCATCTCACTGCTCAGTGGAGACACGGGGATATGAAGCAGTTTTCCCTCTCAAAGTCCACTGCACGTTGTCACAGTCCGATCAGAGTAAGCAGCAAAGATAAAAAGAGACTTTACCTCTGATGTCAGACAGATAAATTTTGACGAAAACAGACCTCGGAGGGTTTAGTAAAGTAAACAGACTGGCTATGGTCCTAGTACAAGAGGAGGAGAACAAGATACTCGCAATCTGTACGACTAGTTACTCTTCAGTCTAAAAGGACTAGGACGAAGCAGACAAAGTGAAGAAGATTCTCGACGACCGGACCTAGCAGATAAAATAATAGCCGTTGGATTTGATACGACATCATCCAATACTGGAGTTCACAAAAGAGCATGTACTTCTCTTCAGCAGGTCCTCAATCGACAGATCCTCTGGATGGCCTGCAGACATCACGTCCTGGAGGCGGAGCTTGTAAGAGGATCTGCCTCCAAGCAACTGTTCGGTGACACAATATCACTCGAAGTAACCCTTTTCAAGATCATGAAGACCTCCTGGGAAGATCTCGATCTGCAGAACATCGTCCTTCCCGATATCCCTACGCGCTAAAGGAACGACGTAGGAGATATTCTATCCTTTATTAATCACATCCGTCAACTCAACAACCAGCCCAGAACATTACAAGGAATTCCTAGAGCTTGCTAAACTAATCCATAGAGAAAGCATAGATATGAAGAAAGGATACGTCTTCCAGATACAAAGACCTGGAGCTGACCACCATGCCAGATGGATGGCTAAGTCCATCTACATTCTACATTATGAAGATGGCTTTTCTTCACTAGATACCAATTCACTGTACGAAGAAGAGAAACGTGCAGAAGATGGCTCACTTTGTTGTCTTCGTTTACTTGAGAGCTTGGTTCAGCGCTCCTTTCCTTGAATCTACAGCCTCCGCCGACACCCGTTTGTTACAGAGTCTTCAAAGGTACAAGAGTGTGGACATAGTATCAGCCATCACCACGGCAGTCCTGAAGAGGCAAACATGGACCTGACTGAAAAGCTCGTCCCACTATCCTTGTTTGATAAAGACCTACCTCTAGAGCGAAGAGCTCTCCTTGCAGCAAGAATAGGCCAACAAACTCTTTGAGCCTTATGAACGTAAAATTATCTTAATTGATAAACAATTATTTGGATGTTTTCGTTTTATGAACCTCTTTATAATGACCAGATAGTATGACCAAATAAGGATGTTGGTATAATTTGTCGTAGTCGTACGGGTAAGGGTTTTCAACATACGTTCTACACTCTAATTTGGGTTTAGATTTTTAATAGTCTCTAAGGACTACTTGAAGTAGTACGTGTTGAAGTAGTACGTGTTAAAGTATGCTACGTGCAGTTGGTCGAGTACTGAGTGATCAATCATCTTCACATGTTTACTGTTTCAGTTTAGTGTAGACCTTGTTGTAGAAACTCAGTACGGTGCTCCGCAGTTAATGTCATTCTGTATCATACGAAAATGCATAGCTAGCATGAGGTATGATAATCCCTCGTATCGGAATCTTTTACATATCTAATCGATTGAGTACCTGGGGACCCCGTTTTAGGTTTTCATACACGTATCAGTCATGAATCAAGCATATTTACTAAAATCTAATATTAATATAACTACTGTGTTTGAGAACACAAAGCCCGGGGTCCCCGGGTAAGTTTAAAGCTGAAAATATTATGAGTGATTTGTGTATTTGGTAATGGTACTGGCTATAGCACTGACAACTGAGCACTCTCGTGAATAGCTATTTGTCAATAGTTTACGAATGACTCCATTATTAACCGTTCTCTTTAAATTATGTAATAAAATTATTAGAATATGATCTTTAAATTATGTAATAAAATGATTAAAATATGAAAGTTGACATAAATTCTGTGATATGTCTACCACCTTTTTCCACTTGATTGTATTTACCTTTAGACCTCCGGCTTTTGTGTTCTTTAACACGATTGATATATAATATGGTGGAATGACATTGGTCGCGTTTTTGGTGTGGAATGCTAGGCGAGTTGTCGTGTGATCATTAACAATTAAGTAATAGTAATACTAGTTATACCATCATGAAACCTTTGATCCGTCAAAGTTCGGGATTGCAATTGCAAATTGACCAAAACAAATGAGAAACTTCATAAAGTATCATCACGCTACCGCACTTGTAACTTACAACATGTCGCTTGTCGGCTTGTTGCCACTCTGTCACATACTGCTTTTAAAAGGTCTACCGATATGCGATTATCATTACAAAACATATATTTTGCGCGCTCAGCATTCCACGCGCAAAAACGCGCCCGTCCGAGAGACCTGCGCGTATTAGAGGGTTCAGTCTCACCAGGCTATGTTAATGAACATAATAGCCTGGGGTCCTCAGGTAACTACTAACTGCCACTAAATGCCACTAACTGCCACTAACTGCTACAATCCACAATCGCGCCCACGCATTTGCGCGCGACAGTAGCAGTTAGTGGCAGTTAGTAGCAGTTAGTGGCAGTTTTTATGCGCGTCGGGATTTCAAATCGAGCGCTCATCAATTTTTATAATAGCAAGTCCGCAGCGTTTAGAGCTGCATTGTTGATTACTGGGCCGCGCTTACAGCTCAGCCTGTCATTCCGCCGAATCTCTATTCATTAATGAACATGATTACTGGGCCGCGCTCAGCCTGTCATTCCGCCTAATCTCTATGTTTATGAACAAAATAGCCTGAGGTCCCCAGGTAACGCCCTATCTGCTATATGCATATTTTTAATCGCCATAATATGTTCAATGTTAAATCAATGTGTTTAACTTAATAAATAAAAAATACCGTTCCCAGGTAAATTCATCTTTGCAAGTTGAATTTGCGTTTCTGAAACCACTCTCTGCACTGGTAATTGTATTTAAAAGGGAACACAAAATGATGTACGTGACCAAAATTATTCCCCGCGCGACGCAATTAGATTCTCTTTCAGCATTAAGTTTCAGTTTCTGGGTAATTCGCGCGTAAAATCATATTTGCACGTGTGCGTTCCATGTTCTCAGAATTAGGCAACGGTAAGTTTAATCTTTAACTTTAACTGTTTTGAAACAGGTGCTGTTATTTCATGCTGGGAATCCCAAAAAGTGCTTGATCGGCCAGTTCATCATTGTGTCTTGCTAAATACTTGGTTAGTTTCATTATGCTTCGACTAATCATCACTGTTGGATTGGGGATGGTATTCAACTGTTGAGGGCCTACTGTAACAGCCATTGATACGCTTATAGTTATCAGACAGCAACTAACTGATATCCAATAGGTCTCAGCCATAGAACAATACAGGCTCAACGGTGGCTCGGAAAAGTATAATCTTCATGGTCTTATATATGATTTTGGTCTATTAGAACGAGTTTTAAGTGAAATATATCCTCCAGAGATGATTACTAATAAAAATAATACTTCAGTTCGTGAAACTGACTTTTTAGATATTTATAGTCTTAGGCCCGTATTCACCAACCTTTAGGTCATACTTAAACAGCGTTTTAAGTATGAGGTCGCACTTAAAAAGGAGTTTAAGTGGCAACTTTAAAAATGGTATTCACCAAATTCACGATTAAGTGTCACCCTTTTTAAGGGTGACACTTAAAATCCCTTAAATTTGGTATTCACCAAATCAACTCACGCTTAAGTTGATACTTAAACTCACACTTAAAACGGATATTTTTAAGGTACACCTATATCAACCTTAAACTCAGTGGCGTAACGTTGCCTGTTGGCGCCCCCCTGCCGAAAAAAGCGCCCCCCTGTTGGTGCCCCCTCCCCTTTTGGTGCCCCTCCCTAAAATTGAACAAATTAGGTGATTTTAAAGAATACGCCGGTAAAATCTCTAAAAAATGTGTATCTAGAGCAAAACGCGCAGTTTTGCTAATACTTTAGTTAAGTTTTCGAAATTGTCCCACATTAAAACGACGATTTGGCGCCCCCTAAGACGGCGCCCCCCTGCACAGCGGGGTCAGCAGGGCCTTTCGTTACGCCACTGCTTAAACTACAGACCTCTTACTTAAAATATTACTTTCACAGTTTACATACGTAGCAGTCACACATATACATCATGTGTTTGATATTTCCGACACGAGTTTTAATAATGATTGATATGTTGCCTCACATTGAGATTGATGATACATTTGAAGACCACTTAGAAGAAGCAGCTACCGTTAATGTCTGCCAGTTTGTCGAAAAGAAATTGGACAAAGCTTCGGTGAAAAAGCTTCATTGTCAGCTGGGACATGGTTCATATGACAAGCTCAGGCGATTACTTAGTGATGCTGGTTTGGGAGATGTAGATTTGTTTAGAGTCCTACAAGAGGTCATTGAAACTTGTGAGATCTGTCAAGTTTACAAGAAGGCTCCTGCTAAACCATGCACATCATTTCCGAGAGCTCGGGGAATAAATGAATCGGTTGCCATTGATTTGCACAAGCTGGATAATAATTTGTACTACCTGCACATCATTGATGAATTCTCACGGTTTAGTCAGGCTGGGATTGTCAGGTCCAAGAAGACTAGTGAAATTATTGATGTTCTCAGTCAGAAATGGATATCCGTTTTTGGGTGCCCTTCATTGATATTCTCTGATAATGGTGGAGAGTTTTGTTCCAAAGAGTTTGAAGATTGGACACAGAATTTCAACATTGAGCATAAGACTTCTGCTGCCTATAGTCCTTTCTCAAATGGAATAGTTGAGCGGCATAATGCTGTAATTTCCTTGATGATGCTGAAACTGGTTGAAGAATTTCCAAATACTAAGGTTGATACCATACTCAGCTGGGCGTGTAGTGCAAAAAACTCACTCAGTACTGTTGCTGGTTTCTCACCCAATCAGCTCATGTTTGGGACACAGACATACCTGCCCAATGTCCTCAACTCAAGTCCACCTGCTCTTGAGAATGAAACGTCAAGTAAAGTAGTCGCTAGTCATATTAATGCTATGAATGCTTCTAGAAGGATGTTTCTAAGCTGTGAAAGCTCCAATAGGATAATGAAGGCTTTGAAGAAGCCACTGAGAACTTACACAGCACCTGTAACCTTTGGAAGTAAAGTTTACTACAAAGCTGTGGGATCAGACAAGTGGAAGGGTCCTGCAACAGTAATAGGACAAGATAGTACAGTGGTATTTCTTCGTCAAGGAAGCTTTGTAACAAGAGTACATCAGAGCAGGATCTCTCTTGTGAAGGACCAGGTTCCCTATGAGCCTAAATCTGATAGTACAAATGGTCCAATTCAGGATATTGAGTCTATCAAAGAAGCAAGTGTGCTTAGAATACCAGATCTTGACTGTTCTAGTGATCATGGTTCAGTCCAAGAAGTTGAAGTAGAGCCTTCTACAAACCCTTTAGCTGAAGTTAATTGTCCTGCTGAAATCGAAGCTGCGTCACCTACGAGTTTGACTGAAATAGCTGAGAAACATGTACAAGTCTCGCAGTTAGTTAACAACACAGTCAATACTAAGGAGGATCAAAGGATTGACAAGCCAATTGCCATTAAGAGAGGCTCAACAATAATCTTTGTTGATGATGGGACACAGTATGAGGCTGTTGTATTGTCAAGAGCAGGGAGGGCTAATGGCAAACATAAGAATTGGTACAATGTTCATGTTAAAGAGACAGATGAAACCATATCTATAGATGTATCTACCATTGATGACTTCACTGTACTGAACAAAGATGAAGGTGATGAGTTTGATTTCGACCCAATTGAAGATGTCTATGCTGTTCAATTGGATGACTATGCAACTGAAAAGCAGTTAGAACTGAGTTCGTGGGTAACTAACAAGGTGTATGAAGAAGTTCGGATAGAAGAGCTAGATGCTAGGAAAGTTATCACAAGTACTTGGGTATGTAAACAGAATGGCGATACAAAAAAGGCTAGACTAGTTGCTCGGGGATTTCTTGAGGATACATCGTCCATCATAAGTGATTCCCCTACTTGTTGCAAAGAGAGTCTTCGTTTACTTCTTGCCATCATTGCGGGAAAGAATTGGATTGTCCAAGCATTAGACATTAAGTCTGCTTTCTTGCAAGGGAACGACATGATGAGAACTGTGTACATGAAACCTCCTAAAGAAGCAAAAGTTACCCCAGAAGTAATATGGAA